TGTTCCAACGAACGCAGGCGAATGTACCAGACTGTACTGAGGTCTGCGGTTCATGATCATATTATAAAGACGCTCTCTGAGCTACAAAAGCGCCGTTCAAATTGTGATTTCGGATTTTTTGAGGTAGCGGCGATGGCCCCACTTCAGATGGGAGCTGTTGTTAATGGCGTTGCCCTGTCCGCTCGGGAGTAGTGCTGTCTGAGACAGAGAAAACGATAGAGTTGGGTTCAGGCAAACCTGGTGTAATGCTGACTGTTACCCTTGGTTGTGAGCAACACAGTTCAACCAGAAACCTGGATTCGGACACCAGGTATCGTGACTGGACGCTAACATCCCAGGCTCTAGAATTGCACTTCAAATATATACATTGTGACACAGGGATGTGAGGAGAACTGGTGGAGGTGTCTCGGTGTTCACCCGATTCGGTGATACGGTTGAAAAACTATGTAGACCCCTAAGGATTTAGCGAAGCAGTGTGCTAGCGAACCAAGCTAACCACCAGCGGTTTTGTGAACGATCGGGTAATGTATCGTATCCTAGCGGGAGTCGTCTTTGACCTACAATTGCCACGTAAGTTTGCAGGCGATGAATGATACATCATTCTTGGGGACTTCAACCATCACGACGAGGCTGCACTTTGACGTGATGTGATGACTTGTGCACCTCTCTGACCCGACGAGCTACACAGGATGGCTTTTGTCAAGCCAGGAGATCTTGTCATGCATGGAAGTTCAATGGGTAGAGGTCAGAAGTCCAATCTCCTGGTCCTCCAGGTTGGGGGTTCGACTAGAATTTGCGTTTCAGTCGGTAAAACATGGTGGAGGAATGATTGATCCAAGTAAATGGGCCTCCATTTCTCTTCACCCGCTGTCTTGCGGCTCGGTTCTTTTCTTTGGTTGAGAACCCTAGTCATTCTGCTTAGTGGCTGGACACCCTATTAGTACCTGTCCGTCAAATCCCAATGCATATGCATTGCGAGTTTGGCAGAGATCAGTAAAGTGCGTTTCTCTGTATTCCGCCTTACGATGATGATGATGACGAAAAAGCATCGACGTTTCGTTCTCTGTTGACCCGTGCTGAACTGTTGAAACGTACGGCGCAGTCGGTTACTGACAGGAATCCAGTCGAGAAGCGAGCGCTCAGCTTTGGCACATAGTTCAATCCCAACACCGCAAGCTTCGGATGTCAAATCGCCTGACACACGGAAGGTGAAGCGTGAGTTCGAGGTTGGGTTAGGAGAACTAATGGAGATGATTGCAGATCTTGTATGCGTGTTTCGGAGACACAGCATACATCTAGATTGTAAGTTTCAAGGGTTCTATCCAAGGCAGCTTGTTGACCAATCTGGTAGAGTGTGCGGACGTTGAACGCGGCTAAATGAAACGGGAATTTTGGCTTCAAAAATTCCGTAACTTCTGGCTGTTTGGCGTTGCTCGTAAAACGCTAAGTGATATTCGACGGGTGGCTTAAACAGGACGCATATGGGATTACTCGGGATTGAGCAAGAGAAGTAGACAGATGAGAAAGATGGCTTTCCAAATGGGTGGTTAAGACTTTGTGGCACGACATACTTCGATGTAGCCGACACCAACGATGGGGTTTTATTTGGGAACCCTAACTGGAGCCTTCGAGTCAAATTTGGCCCAAAAGTCAATGGGATGTAAATCCAATGCGGGAGCGTGAACGAAGCACCAGTTTGGGAGCTTCTAGTGACCTGTCACGCAAGGCCTTCGGGCTTCGGTTAAGTTTGTCGTTCGCTGGTGCGTTGATTGTCGGTCCGCTTTTCGGGATCGGCCCTTAGTCTCATGCACCCAATGAGACAAACGAAACCTGAACAGGACAGCACCTTTCTGGCCGCAAAATGAGCTTGGCGTTGCCAGGCTCTCTGATCCGGCCATACTAGCCGATTACCAAAACGAGTTGGCCGCAAGGCTAACTACTACCCCATCAAGTAGCGTAGATCAACACTGGACAACCATTAAAAATGCATTGCACTCAGCCGGTTCACACAGTTGTGGCTTAACCCACCGAGTTGTAAATCAGTGAGTCTCCTCCGACTCTCTCAGACTCCTGGACACGCGTCAGGCAATCCCGGCAGACCGCGAGTACAATTAACAGCGCTTCTCTCTGAAGCATGAACTCACAAAGAGTTTGTGAGTTGACCGAAAGGCCTGGCGGACGCTACATGCAAAGGTGATGGAATCAGCGGCTAGGTGTGGAAACACCCGGCACCTATTCCGGCTCGTCCTTGCTACAGGCCCCAAAAGACAGTGCGTTAGTGAAACAATCTGCGAAGTAGACGGTACGCTAATAAACACCCTTCACCGACAATTGGAAAGCTAGGTGGAGCACTTCACATCGCAGTTCAACCAGCCCCCTGCACTGGCTGCCTCAAGCAGTTCTCTTGAGAGTGCACCCTGGTCACTATCCACGGGACCGCCTACAGAAGCGGAGATCCGAAAGGAAATCCAAGCCCTGAAACATCACAAGGCAGCTAGATCAGACGGCCTGATACCTGCTCTCTTTATAGATGGTGGAGATGCTGTCGTATTCGAACTTATGAGACTGTTCTCGAATATCTGGGGAACTGAAAGTGTACCCCACATATGGGGAGAATCGATTGTCACACCCATCTACAAGAAGAGCTGTCGCAACGCCTGTTTCAACCATGGGGGCATAAGTCTGATTCCAATAACCCCGAAGCTGCTAGCGTCCGTTTTATTACGCAGGTTATNTGCACGAGCGCCACTGTTTGCGACACCTAGCCATATCACTCAGTGTCTCTAACCATCGGTGAATATCATCCCGAGGTCCCCAGCCAGGGAACCTAACGGGGCCTATGCCGAATCGCCCGACACACGAAGAGTGAAGCGTGAGGATGAGGTTGGGTTAGGA